GAAACTGTGACTGTTGCGTTTTTTTTTAAAGTGTTGTCTTTGTCTATTTATTTCCCCTTCCCTTGTCAATTGTGAGCCGCCCGGAGTCCTTCGGGAGTGGGCGGCATACAAGACAAATAAATACAAATACAAATACCTTTAGTATGGCAATCTACTGCATCTGTGTGGATTGAACAATGGCCTTTAACGCAAGAAAAACTTATAGCCTTACATGAGTTAGTGAGAGAACAGCTAGCTGCTAACCACATTGAACCCACCTACAAGTCCATTTAATACGCCAGTTTTTTGTAATAAAGAAGAAATCTGGTAAATGGAGGCTTCTTCATGATCTCAGGGCCATTAATGCAATCCTACCACAAATGGGGCCACTACAATGTGGCACCCCAAATCCAAACATGATTCCTAGGGAATATCAAGTTATGATCATTGATTTAAAGGATTGTTTCTTTACCATTCTATTGTGCAAAAAGGATAAGCCTCTCTTTGCCTTCACAGTTACAGTAATAAATGCTGAACAACCCACAGAGAGATATCAATGGACTGTATTACCTCAAGGCATATTAAATAGTCCTACTCTCTGTCAGCAATTTGTTGCGAGAGCTTTGAAACCTATTAGGAAAAGATATCCTCAAGCACTGGTATATCATTAATGAGAGGTCTTAAAGCAAATGAACTTTGGCAGATGGATGTAACCCAATATCCCTCTTTTGCCCCTTGGAAATATCTTCATGTAACCATTGATACTTTTTCTCATTTTATTTGGGCTACTCCTCAGAAAGGAGAAGCCACTAAACATGTTGTTAATCATTGTATTCGAACATTTGCTGTCATGGGCCTACCTTCTACGTTAAAAACAGACAATGGCCTTGCATATTGTAGATGCTCCTTTGCTGATTTTTGTGTCAAATGGCAAATTGAACATCTTTTTGGCGTACTTATAATTTTACAGGACAGGCCATAGTGGAGAGCAGGCAAATTTTACATAAAAATCTGCTTTGGATAAATATAAACAAACAGGAGGGATTACTATAGGTCTCCCTAGTAAACAGGAATGGTTGAATAAAGTTCTGTTTACTCTGAATAATCTTAATATCATAAAAAATTTATCAACTCCAGTAAATAATTTTGGAAGTATAATGAATCATCCCCAGCCACAGGTCATGTATAGATTATTGTCTAATCCTGAATGGCATGGACCCGTTCCTTTATGGGGACAAGGATATGCTGCTGTGCTTGCTCCTATAGGTCCAGGTGTGGATCCCTGCTCGGTGTGTGAAACCTTGGAAGGATGGCGTGGCACCAAGGACTGAAAAACCCGATCCTGAACTTCTCACTCAGCCTGCAAAACCCTCGGCAGGATCGGGACAGAGCACTTCATCAGAAATATCAAGTGACCTAGGGACAGATTAAAACCCTCTCTGCACAGTCTAAAAAATTGTTACAGGTAAGGACATACCACAGACACCAGATAACTTTTTAGTAGCAGCATTTGCTTGTTTGAATGCTAATTCTATAACTATTATTATGTGTATTCTTTTATGTGTATATTTCCTCCTGGAATGACTACAGTGACTTTGCAAGATGGAATTCCAGAGCAAGGACTTTGGGAGCGAAATTCTTATGTATGGGATTTGCAAAATATCTCTCGATTAGTAAACAAGACAGATTGCTGGATCTGCATGCACGTTCCCTCACAAGCCAAAGGAGGACCTTTAATACATGCTATTCCTTTCAATGAAACTGGATGGAAACAACGTCCTTGGTTCCCTGGAACGCTAGAAAAAGACAATGCTGATTATTCTATTTTAGCTATTGGTAGCAGAATTCAAGAAGTAGCGGCATATTGTTGGGAATTCATCAACCATACTAGGAAGGCANAGTGGGGGGGGCAAAAACGAGCAAGAAATTGCCCATTTTTCACAAAAATAGGCCTGTTTTTCTTATACCCTTATGGAAGCTTATAGAGTACTGCTGGGGACTGTGTGTGTGTGTGGGGGGGGGGAAACGGTCCATTTTTTGCTCATTTCTGCCCTCCCCAGCCCCCAAAAGCTCTCTGAAAGCCTCCTTAAGGGTATGCACGGCCATTTTGGTGAAGGGGGTGGGGTTTGGGGAGGCAAAAAATGCTGTATTCGATGTATAAGATGCACCCAGATTTTCAGCCTTTTTTTTGAGGGACAAAGGTGCGTCTTATACTCCAAACATTATGGCTAATGTTTTAAATCACAGATCAGTATAAGTCGACAATTGAATTAAAAAGAATACAGCGGCTATAACTACACATATAGTTAGCCCGTTTCTACTATCACAAAGAAATGAATTCAGTTATCTTCAGAACGCTTTATACTACAGTCCTATATCTTTAAAAAATTATAAAAACTAGAAATAGTGATTGGTACAATTTTGATATGAGGACAGAAATCTGTCAAGAATTTTATTTCTTAAAGTCAATTCATCTGGAGTGGGGACAATTGCAGAGTGGCAAAGGGTCAGCTATTAAAATGAAAAGTGATTAGATCCACACTATTAATATCTAATTCTTTTCTCTTGCTCCTCACCTTTTAGATTGCCAAGTAATGGAGAGACTGACTGCTAGTAGACCAAATAAATCAGCTGAAGATTCATAGGTTGCCCACCATTATACAAAATATTAAAATCCTTGATTTCCTATTCAGGTATAAAGTAGCATGCAAATTAACATTACATCTAAAAACTATGGGTAAAATGTCCCATTCACTTTGACTTCCAAACAAATACTCTTGTCCCTCTTTGTCACAATTAGGAGCTATTCCCTATTTAAAGTCAGATAAAGTAAAGATAAAGGTTTCCCGTGTCCAGTCGTGTCTGACTCTAGGAGGATTCATCTCCGTTTCTTAGCCAGGGTTGTTTGAAGACAATTCCATGATCATATGGCCAGCATTACTGTATGCCAAAGCACATAGAATGCTGTCACCCTCCCACCAAAGTGGTACCTATTTATCTACTCGCATTTGCCTGCTTTTGAACTGCTAGTTGGAGCTGGGCAAGTAACATTGTGCGGTGCTTGGGTCTTGAATTTGGACTGTCAACTTTCCAGCTGACAAGCCCAGCATCTTTAACCCACTGGGCCATCACACTTCCTTAAATTCAAATACCGTATATACTCGAGTATAAGCC